TTCATATAGTTAATAAACAATATAAGGTATTGCGAAGTTTCCGTCAAACAATTAGTGTAGACCGTATACGTGAATACCGGGATGTTCGGGACAAATTCAAAAATATATGCAGGACCAAAAAACGTGAATATTTGGAAAATCAAATCCTAAGCTGTTTTGGTCAACAATTAGACGCAAAGAAATAATTGAAAGCATCAGGTGGCACAAGAATGTTAACTCACCAAGACTGGTTTGCCTGGGGAGTATTTTAAATCTTCTGTTCATATGCGTTTGCCATATCTGCACGTCCTGTTCAATAGGATCCTCGATTCCGGCAAAATAGCAATTGATTGGTCAAATGCAATCATTATACCTATATATAAAAAGGGGTCGAGGGTTGATCCAGGGAGCTAGGGAGCGCAATTTCACTACTTGATATTTTTGGAAAGGTTTTTACGTGAATTCTTAATGTGCGTTTAACTTTTGGGGCTGATTGCTCTGGGGAAAATAAACGAAGAACAGGCTGCTGATTTTCGTCATGGATACTCGACATTATACAACATTGTCCAAAAATATATAATCAAGAAACGGGGAAAAATATACTGCACCTTCGCGGATTTCTCCAAAGCATTTAATAATGTAGGGTGACAACGTCTTTGTTATGACTTTCTCAAAGGGGGAGTAAATGGAAAGATGTGTAAGGTATTACATAATATCTATGGAAATGTAAAATCATGTGTTAAAACTTTAAACGGATATACTGAATACTTTCAGTGTCCTATGGGTGTTCGCCAGGTATGTTAAAAGTCCATTCCTATTTGTTCTGTCTTCTATTAGCTGATGACGTTGCAGTTGTATCAGATTCAGTTGTAGGGCTCCAGAGGTTACTAGATAAACTAGAATTGTATTGTGAGCGAAATTGTTTTCAAGGTCGGCGAACATTTATCAAAGAACGAAAAGTGGGTTTATGGAGAGATGGGTGTTCACACCGTTTCATACTACAAATATCTAGGGATTATGTTCTCTTGTAGACTCCACTGGTCAATGGTGACAAAGTTATTGGCGCAGCAAGCGAAAAAACCTTCATTTCTACATTTAAAGCTTTTAATTGTTTATGCCCTCTATCCTATCGAACCTACTATAAGGTTTTTGATACAATTATACTACCAATATTAATATATGGGGCGGAAATCTGGGCTTTTAGAGAGTATAAACATCTAGACCGAGTCCAATATCTTGCATGTAGAGTATTTCTTGGTGTTTTAAATAGATCACCAAATAGTAGTATTCTAGAAGAATGTGGGAGATATCTTATTTATCAGTACACAGTGAAACGCTGTATTAAATATTGGGCAAAATTAATTTCCATGCTAAATTCAAGGTATTCCAAGAAATGTTACAATATGCTATACAGTATCGAAAAGTCGGGAACCAGAACAAAACACACGTGGATCAGTGACATCCAAAATTTACTTTCCATTTGTAATATGGATGGTGTATGGCATGCACAAGAAGTTGGAAATGTTAATGTTTTTATAAATACATTTGTGGAACGATTCAAACAGTATCTTTCTTTGGTATGGCAGGCTGACTTATGTACTTTAGACAAGTTAATTACTTACCTTACTGTCAATTTAAATCACCATAGAACCAGAAGCATACTTGTTTTGTTTTGTCATATTCGAAGCCATTTGCAATCACTAGCTCGGCTACGATGTTCATCACATTGTTTACAAATTAAACATTTTAATATTGCTTTATAACTCCCTTATACAGCCGAATATTACTTATGGACTGGAGGTTTGGGGTAAAACATATCACTCACACGTAAATGCCATTTATATGACCCAACAAATTTTAGTTCGCGCAATGACGTTTAGTTCGTTCACTGAACACTCGGCCCTTTATTCAAAAACTTAAAAATCCTTGATATCTATAAAATGCACAAATTAGTCACCTGTACTTTCATCCATGACTTAATCCACCATAAATTGCCCTTAATATTAATGACTATTTCAAACCTATCCATCATTCATATTAAACCAGACAACTCCACAATCAAAAACATTTTGTTGAGTATACCCATACAATTTTTGGCCAGTTTTCGATGACATACTATGATGCAAAAATATGGAATAATATCCCGGCTACAATTAGGTCAATTATCTCACGCAGCTCGTTTAAGAAAAATGATTAAACAATTATTATTGACAGAAAACTAGACACATATGATTTTGTTTGCCAAGTTGTTTATTTGTTAATATTTTAACCTGAGAAAATGATGAAAGCTCTAGTATTTTCTGCAGCGGATGAAAAGCAAATAACTTAATCGGTTGAGTACAATAATAATTTTATTGAACGACAGTTCCGTCATTTGAACGTTTTGAAGGTAAATGACAAAAAGTATGTATATAAAAAGTGATTAGTAAGAAATTGTTGAACTCCAAAAAACGCCTACAATTTGATGTGATTTTTTTTAATATTTTGAATGTAATTAATCTAGTGTATAATATACATGTTGTATAATATGCATACTTTGTGTGGGATATATCTATTTCACAGATGACTATTGAGTATACCATGCTTGACTAACATATAGGCGTGTTTACAATTTAAATAACCAAGAGTCTCACAAGTCATTATACTCCCTATCTGAATACTAACAAACTAATTAATACAATTTAGTGGAATTGCTATATATGCATACGGGAGACGAACCATGTATTATAACATCTATTTTATAAACATTTCTTGACCTTTTCAGGATGTATTTGACTGGAAATGTCAGC